CCTGTGAAAAAAATTTCTTTTTAGGATAAAAAATGACCGAGTTATTACCAAAACAATACGGAATTTTCCAAAATTGATCCGATTGCCCCCAACTGACTCTAATAGTAGACAGAACTAGAAGTCAAACCAGCACATCAAAAATAAAACTTTTTCGAGTTAGTTTTGATACTTGATTTGGCCTGACTTAGATTTGAACTGCTGTTGATTCCACATACTCGATTCTGTTTCCTAATTAATTTCCTGCATAAAATGGTTTAATTATAAAATGCAGAAATCAACGATTGCATAAAAAATACTAGAACAACTCTCTTAAAAATGTGGACTGGAAGCGACGAAAGAATTGACGATATAAGCAAAATATTGAGACGGTTATTCGTTTTGATCACCGTTTATAGTACATATACAGACTGTTTTCCTTCAAGAACATTACTTTTTAGATCCAGTGACAAACCATGATCGAAAGAACTTGATACAATTACAATATCGATCAAAAATTGGTTCAATTCCCAGCCAACGCGGTGCGTGCTGTTGCAGCTTCGATTTTACAAATCTGATAAGAATAGAAAATCAAGTTATGCAATGGTTAGTAATATCGAGCTTTATGTGAAGCAAGCAATAACACCAAATTAAACGACAAATAGTTTTGTACCATGGTCAATGAAGAATACAGTGTTCACTATAGGTTTAGTACTTAACCTTGAAAAGCTGACGTTTTCAACTTTTCCAAAAATGCGTAAAAGAACTCTTTCAGCGTCAAAATAACCTCCAATAAACGCATGACAGTATATCAGTAAACCCAAAAGATTTTTGACCGATGAAAAATAAAAAATAAGGCTGAAAACCATAGCTAATAAATCAGTGATTCACTGTCATTGTTTGGACAGTTTTCTGCAAGAACACGGTTTTTTATAAACTTTTTTACGTCTAAAAAGCTGAAAATTGTTCGCTATCATTTCAAAATGAAAAACCACAAAATAGTGTTTTATCCGTTTTTTTAGACAGTTTTTACGTCTGCAAAATCGAAAATTGTTTACCATAGTGAGCTTTTCGTATTACCGGGTTTGCCACAATACGAAAAGAAGTATTCGTTTCTTCAGACAGAATTTTATGTGATAGCAGAAAAAAGTCAATTAATTTTAATTTTTTAATTTCTTTCTTTAAATCATTATTAACCTTACGTCTCATCTAAAAGGCAATTTCACAGTTCGGCAGAAACACTTTTCGGCAGCGTGTTTCGACACTGACGAATTTCGAGCGAAAAATTTTGAATTTTAGTCGGAAAAGCTTGTCATTATCAGAAACGTTATCTCTTATGAAGCATTTACCATTTATTATCAGAAACATTTTAAGTGTCTTCTTCTCCTGAGAGAGTTAGTCTCGTTATCCTTTTGTACTAAAATCGATAAGCATACCTACAGTGAATATGAATCCTTAGTACAAAAATATTTAACACAATACGATGAATTTTACAACCGTGAACAATGGATACCGAAGCATCATTACATGATTCATTTAGCCAAACAGTTAAAAATATTAGGACCACTGCGATTTGCTAACTGTATACCATTTGAGAAGAAACATGCTTATTTTAAAACATTTACATTCAGAAATTTTGCCGTTGAAAAATAAAAAATAAGTAAATTATTGCCCTAACTCTTAGTGATAAACACCAAAACAAAACTGTTGCTAACATGTTAACTTCGGACAATATTACCCACAAACATTATTTATATGGTTGTCATCAGTTGGGAAATCTTTCATTAGTAGAGAATGATCAGCTTCCGGAGGCATCTTTTTTTAATCGGAATTCACCCATTTACGACGCAAAAAAGCCTGTTAAAATACACGGAATCAAATACAGTCACGGAACTGTTATGCTAATAAACCGAAAACATTTTCCTAAATCTCCTATATTTGTTCAAATAACAAATATTTTTCTCCAAGAACTAGTGATTATGCTTAGAGGTAAACAGTTTTGTGTTTTATCTAAAGATTTGCGTGTTTCAGGTTATGAGGTATACTTAACGCCATCAGATTTCTCTTTTAACTTGTATGATATCACATATGTGGGGGCCTTATCTGTTGAGTCGATGAGTGAGAAAAAATATATTAGTTTATTTCCATATGGAAGGTGATTTAGATAAATTTTGTTGTTGTTTTCTTGGCATATTTTTCTCTCACGTTCTTCATAGGAACGTGTCTCATTAATCGCTTTGTTTGAACTGAGCTTTTTTATAGCAATTAAAGCATTGATGTCTTTTTCTCGCTTCTTTTTTTGGTTATTTTTTTCTGTGTGAATGAGTTGATATACATAATTTTGTTATTCTAACAAATATTAACAACATGCTGCTTTGAACATCTTGACTTTTTATCTCACTATTTTGTTTCCGTGTTTAGACTGTCTGTGGGAAGTGTTGACACCTGCTTCAACTCTATGTATGCAATTCCCGCTCAAAACCAATGCTACAGGGAAAGAATTTGTCGATTTCCACGAAAACTACTATGTTCAGACTTCCATGTAAAATACGACTGATTGATTTTTCTAATAACATGCTTGTAGCATGTTATTAGAAAAAATGTCTTATACCACGATAAATTCAACTGATGTTCTCTGTTACAGTATCGTAGCAGATTTTGCAGAGCGTGAGACAGCGAACATTTTCTATTCCTTTGTTTTGATTTTGGAACTCATATTCCCTTACATCATTTGGCAACTTCGTACGGCGCCCGTAGATGTTATAGTCAAAAAGTTTTGATCCATATCTTACTACATAAGGGTCGCACAAAAATTCTGATAGCAGATTCTGAACCATCGTCATCGACTCTCTATTCCAGAGTGTCATTAGCTATGGCAAACTCAGTATAGACAAAATTTTCTATTGAGAAGGTGCAAAAAGAACGTTCTGCGAATATGATCGAAAGAACTTGTGGCCGTCATATCTCGGCAATTAGAAATAACGTCATTGTCAAATTTTCAGAAAAACTTCCTGCACACTTCAGCTACATTTTACTTGTGTTGTTTACGACAAAAAAAGTTTTGTCCAAACTGGTACTTTTCAAAAAATACGAAAAACTCATCGAAAATCAATTTTTTTAATGTAACTAAAAAAGCGCTGCTCACTATTTTTTCCACTTCCACGACGATAATAAACGTTTTTTAAGCATCGGCAAATTAAATGCTAATCGAAAGAAGTGTATTTTCTAATATTAAATAGTACATAATAATATCATTGCTGCTGCTACAACTTGGATTTCTAAAGAGTTATAATTTTGTACGATGGCTCCGCGATAGCAATTCAAACACGCTGAAATAATTCTAATACAATATTCGAGTTTAGAAAGCATTTGATTTTCAATTCGATCGCTCAAAAACCGCCATTTTTTGAATCGAGCATGGAAAGATTCAGCGGTCCATCTAACTTTAGTCACCAAACGCGATTCATTCGCCTCTAGAGTTGTATGTTGCTTGTTTCCTTTGTCTAAATAATATGGCGTTTTAATCTCGTAACCTAAATCAGTGAAAACCTGAACAACATCTGTAAAACTCCGGTCTACTATCGCCATCCTCGGTCCAGTTTTTGAGTGAATTATTAGCTCGTAAAACATTCTTGTCGTTATCATCATATTTGTGCTACATGTAAACAAAATTTGTTTTTATGTGAAATTACGTGTCTTTTGTATCTGATTCATCACGGTTTAAGAAGATTAAGAATTAAGAAGAAGATTAAGATCCCACCACCATCCCCTTACACCACAAACATGACAGTCCATCTACAGCTTTATCTTTCATACCATAATACACCGATAGTCACAGTGGTCATTTATTACCATCGAATTATTTACAACTAGTCGATCCAAACTGTTGTAGATCTACCTGATTCAACCGAATAATTATTCAACGAACAGACAGTGATTGCTCTTTGTACTGCATTGTTTTGTATGACTACGCTTTCTTAAGGCAAATTCCCGTCTCAGTCGCTTGCCACTTCCCACTTATACTACACCAGCACTCGTCACATGTCTCTGGGGCTACTCCCTGTCATGTGAATGCGGTTGCTCTCTTTCTCGCAGAATCAACATGGAGCCCGCAGGGGTGTATCTCCGACACGTGCTTTGATCTCTCGCGTTAGTTTTATGTGAGGGACCTCTGCCCCAAATCTTTTCTTATGTATGTGATTTTTCGGCATTGTAAGCCCATAAAGGAGCAGGGGCAGAAATTCGAGCGACTTTCCGAGAGAAAATCTTTCTCCAAAATGACCGAATCGATGATTTGGGCTCTCACGACATCATCTACTGTAACAGAACGAACGCATATCTGGAGGTCGCGGTTGTGTGAATTTGTAGTAGACACTATCTAGCAGTTATAATAGAATTCTTAAGTCAAAGTAATGTGTCGTTATGTAGTTGTACGTAGTTTACATTGACAGTTTCTTTAGATGCCGGAATTTGTGCGTTTTCAGGCTCTTTGCAAAAACTGAATATCTGAGCAACGCAACAACTTTAGAATCTGCAGTTTTCGCCAAAATTCATGAAACTGTTTGCTCTAAAGAAGACCTTATTATGGAAGAAATCTGAGATGGTCAATTGAGCACATTAGGTCGTGACTTATCTTTAATGGCTCTTAAGAAACCATAAAGAGAGTCATAGTTTATAGTACCTGGTGTAAGACGTTTAGTTAGTACACGTGTATGAAAGGCGAATATGAGCTTCATGATACTATAGGAATGAACATTGTTGTGTGAAGCGGTGAAAAATATATACTTGATTTATATCCGTCGTTTTTTAGATATATATAATATTGGCGAGTATAATAACTCATTCTACATTATTAGAAATGAATGAAAATAATAGTATAATAAGAAAATAGAAAACATTCTAAAACCAATTAACCGAGCAAAATACATAATAATTACGTATTGCTAAATATGTGGATTACAGTTGAAATAGCTCACAAGACAAAATATTGATATTAAAATATTTAATTATGTTTTTATTTGTATTTATTTTAACGGTGTTTTATTGCGTGAAAATAGATTTGACAACTGTGATTTGATATGCTTTAGTTTATGCTCATCGATAAAGCGTTTCTCCGGTATTGGTATCGGTATGAATTTAAATCGTTGGTTTCTTCCACCGTGTCGTAGATGTGGTTGTAAACGTTGATTATCTCTAGCTGCATCTAATCTCATATCATTATTATATATATCCAAAACATAGTTAGTGTTAAACTTAAATACAATCATATATTCACCATCGTCAGTAACTTTTTCAAAATTAAACAATTGTTTAGTATTCATAAATTCATCCAGGATAATTCCAGGCATATAATACTGAGGTGAAAATCTCGAGGTTTTTTCTATAGTTAATACACGATCACTCCTGTTATGCTGTAGAACTTAATCATTATAGTCGACGCATAGTAAACCAAATATCTGACGATCATCACCTAGAAATAACATAATAATAAAACAATAACAAAACAAATAAGATATCAATTTTTCTTTTACCTATAACCAATGGTTGTTGAAAAATTTGTGTTGGCTTGTGGTCTTTGACATATGTCAAATATTTTTGACTAAAAACACATTGTACATAATAAAGACCAGGTTCAATATGTTCACTTTTATCGTAAATTTGTATTTCTTGACATTGTTCATGTGTTCTTAATTGTAACGTTAAATGTTTAAATGAAAAAAGATATATACTCGATTGACATTTTATTAATAGTGTATTTGGAATTGTTTGTTGATTGAATGTAACAGTTAGTGTTGATAAATTTCGGTGAGATAATGTTACCAAATACGATCGAACATCAACATCATGACAAACAATTGTTAAAGAATATAAATTTGGTAATAAATTTAAATAAAAATAGTCACTGCTCAATTTTAATTGATGAATGTGATGACCAACACTGGATAAATAAATGACTAATAACCTCGGTGGAACATCTGTTAAATTGAATTTATTTGTTCGTTGTGCTAGACTTTCTGTTAATAATCTAAATCGCTCATTTAATTCATAGAATGTATACAAAACATCGGATAATTTTAATTTATCAAATACGCAATGGAATAGTTCGTTGGGAAATTGTTCTAATGTTGTTGGCATTTTTTATTTTTTATTTCCCTTTATAATCTTGTTCTGTGTTTTTGAGATTTGTCTCGCCTGATTTGTTTTGTTCTGTTCTGTTCCACACGTCTATATAAAATATGTAAACTATTTATAGTTCTTTTTCTCCTTCGTTGCACGTGGCAATGACATCTACTAATCTAATTAAATAAGAATGTTCTCATGTGAGCTTTATATGTTTTTATTTTTATGAGAAGGTGTATTTAAAATTAACAAAAAAAAGGCGGCGAAGCTATAAAGTCTTTTATTAGCAATCTAGCAAATAAGAAGATATCGTTCTTCGCACAAGATATATTTTGTGCAGACTTTTGCTATACAGTTGACGTAGAAAGAGAAATAAAACTGTTTTTTCTCCTCCGATCCTTTTGTCGATGAATGTTTGTTCTGTTTCTTTTTATAAACTTCAATAGACTAGAACGAAGGTATGAATGGCTGATATAGGGGTGGCACTTTACCGTTCATTTCCCGAGTAACGGTAAAGTGATATCGTTTATTTTCAAAAGTAAAGAGTAAATATATAATGCATATCTTTTCTTTTCTAAGAAAAAGGAAAGTGATATTTTTTCTTTTTGCAAGCAAAAGACCTGTAAATCACTGTCTTACCGTAAATCTTAGACAATAAGTTACCGGTTTTTCGTGCAAAAAGAAAAGATATCACTTTTCTTCGGCTTGGAACAGAAAAAGTATCTGCCACTTTCCTTTTTCTTAAGAAAGAAAGATATGCATTATATATTTGCTCTTTTGTGTTGTAAAGAAAAACTTTTCTTTTGTTAATGTAAAAAGAGGTAGTAAAGAGAAAGTGTCACCCCTACGTCGGTATCTTTGATATCTCGATTTCAGCTATCAAAAGTTTTATCAAAAGAAGATGAACCACCAAATTCCTTTTCTGATCCAGTAATTAAAAGAATTTGATAGAGTATAAAACCGTTCGAAGCTACTATAATCAACGATCATTCTCAAAACACGGCCAAGATACTTAAGACATAGATTCGCAACAAAGACTTAAACTGCAGCGTTTGTGATATTTAAGTATATTCGCATCTTTCTTTTGTCATAGTTTTTCTGGTAATAAACGCATTATGTAAGGGGCGCCAAATAAAAAACGAATTTTTCTTTAAGGCGGAGGCGTCCTCCTCCAAACATGCCCTCAAATTCGGCCAATTTGTGAAGAACACCTTCGGTGATATGCTTATCCAATAAAAAACTCGTTGGTCAAATATTGACAGAGTTATTAATCAATTAAGTTCAAAATTAATTGCAATTTGTAGTTTGAGAGGCATCTTTTACAACCCTTTTAGTGTTTGATATGAATGTTAAATTCGATTGATTGTAGTGTGGTTTTATAGAGAATTGTTTGTAGATTGACTGAAATTCTGTTTTGGCTATGCCAGAATGATAATCGGATTAAAATAATTTATT